CCCCCCCCCCCCCATTCTTCTGCCCCCTCCTCTCCACAGCCACCTTCTCATCCCCTGAAGACCCCCTCATTCCCCAGGAGGCCAAGCCCTGCCCCCCACCCCACCCCCGGCTGCTTCTCTGCACCACTGAGACCCTCACCTTGGGCAAGACGCTGCTGGCACCCACCACCACCAGACCGCAGACTCGGGCGGACGGCTCAGTCCTGCTCTGGGTCACTCTCACCAGCTGTGGCACCGCTTCGGCCTCTGGGGTCCCCATTGCTCTTCCCTGGAGGGGGAGAAAGCCGTGAACCAGCCTGGGGAACAGAGAAAAGGAGCAGGGGGGAAGAGCCCACCGAGCTGCAAAGGAGTCGACCCCGGGGGGGGGGGGATGCACCCCCCGGCTAGTCCTGGCTGCATCAACGGAATCCCCCCCCCCACAGCCACCCTGAGGAGGCACGGGGGGGGGGGGGGAGAAGCCCCCCCCCCCCCGCAACTCCACTCCTAACACGGCTGAGATGGTTTTAAAAGCTTGGAAGATTATTTGCACCCTCGCCCAAGATCCCTGCCAATCAGCCGTGCCAGAGAGCATTGGCTAATCCTTCCTTCCTCCTGGAGTCCCTTCTGCCCCTCGGGGCGCCTGAGCTGCTGGCCGGGCTGCAAGCGTCCACCTGCCACTTCCCTCGGCCGTCGTTGCCATGAGGACGGGAGACCCGTCCTTTCTTCCCCTTTCAAGGAATAAGCACTGAAAATCACAGGCCCTAAATTTTCAGGCTTGGCCAATTAAGAGGCGGCTTGTGAAGGTGGCCTGGAGGTCAGCGTGGAAGGGAAGCATCGCCCACCCCTGCAACTGACCAGCCGGGTCTCTTCCAGGCCTGGGGGGCGGGGGGGGGGGGGGGAGGGGGGGGGGGGGGGGGAGGAGCTACTCTAAGGCCCAAAGGGAGGCCCCGCCTCCCCCCACGCCCCCTCCGCCGGTGCCGGCCTGGGGACAGGGCAGCCTCCAGTCAGGCAGGGGAAGGAAAGGGCTGCAGGGGGTCCACCGCTGGCTGGAGGCTTAAGGCCTAAGAGCCAGGGGAGCCTTGGGGCCTCCTCATCGGACACCAGGCGAGAAGCCCTCCCCACGGGGTTCTGCCCAGCTCAGCAGCCCAGAGGGGAGGCAGGGCTACTGTCCCAGAGCCAAAGGCAGGTTGGGGGCTTGGGGCGAAGTGCCGGTCCTCCTCAGGGGTGCAGGGAGCCCCAAGGGGCCTTTGAGGGGAGGGGGTCCCTCGGTCTCACCTGCAGGGGCTGCTGTCCCTCTCGGCCCGCTGGGTCAGCAGCTTCGTGGCTCCTGGCGGGGGGCCCTGACCCCAGACTGGCCGGCCCATCTTGCTGGCGAGCAGGGAGCACACTCAGCTCATAGCACTCCTGGATGTCTGGGGGGAGACAGACCGCAGGGCGCCCTGAGAGGCCAGCTCCGAAGACCCTCCTGCCCTGCCCCCCGGCAGAGGACCTCCAGAGCGTCCCGGGATGCCATTTAGGCGGGCTGCATCTCGGAGGGACACACAGTCCGGTTTCCCCGGAACTTTTGCAGAGCGGCAGCAGGCGAGCCCCGTGGCTGATGACCCCCCCCCCCCTGCACCTTCTCCCTCCCCCCAATGCTGTTCCCAGAGGTTGCCACCCCTCCCTGCAGCCCCTCAGCAGAATCCAGGCAGGTGGTTGTCTAACAGGGTGGCTGGAGGGAGAACTGGCTCCCGGCCCCCCCTGCAGGTCTACAGGCTCACCCCACTGGCTGATGGAGCCAGGTGGGCCTCACCTGCTGAGCCAAAAAGCAGCTCTGCTCCGCAGGGAACCCCGAGCTTAGCCCGCAGGGGGACCAAGGGGGACCCCCGGGAAGGCTCTCCAGCACCCCCAGACTCTTCTTGGCTTCCTTCCTTCCTGTTAGGCTCCAGGCCTCAAAGTCAGAGGCCCCCCCGGCCCCGGAGGAAGCAGCTGCCCAGAGGCTGCAGAATGAAGGGGCTGCCGTCTCTGTGGGATGCAGTTCTGGGGGGGGGGGGGGGGCTGAACATCACACCCCCCCCAAGCAGCGGCTCTGGTTTAAGGGGGGCCATGCCCAGGGTCACCCCCAGCAGGGGCGCGGCCTGCGCGCTCGGCCGTTGCCAGCCCCCCTTACCCAGCAGGGCCTGGAACAGCTCGCTCTGAAACACCCGGACCACTTTCTCGACTGAGGCTCGCAGAGGCTGCTCCGCCGGGGACTGCAGAACCCCCTGATAGCGGGCCAGGATCGCCACAGCTCGTTGGGTGTCTGCAAGGCAAGAGCAAAGCTTGAGGGAAGTCGGGGGGGGGGGTCCTGTATCCAGCAAGCCCCCCCTCCCCAGGACACACAGCCCCCCTTCGCCCAGGCAGGTTCCTGCAGCTGGCAGGGGACCAACAAATCCAGGATCCACATTCACACATTCAATCTAGGCAAGGAGGAGTCCAGAACCCGCAACTTTTTTGTCCCACGGAGAGAGCAGGCCTGCCAGCCCCAAAGAGCAGCTCTGGCGGTTCCGGAGGCCCCAGCTAGACGGGAGGTTTTTCTCAAGAGCACCGGTGCCCCGCATGGAAGAAGAAGAAGAAGAAATCCCCTTTGGGGTGACCCCAAGTTCTCCCGGGGCCTGAAGGTGCTGCCAGCTTCAGCTGTGCCTTCTACAAACGCAGCCTTGCCTTGTCTGAAGGGCTCCTGGCCCCCATCCTTGCCTTCTTCCCCGGCAACCCTCTCCCCGCCTTCGATTCCGAGAAGAAGGGCCAGGAAGGGTCCCAGGAGAGGAGCCACCGTCAGGTCTCCCTGGCTAGCCCCCCCCC